CCTGGCATGGCTGCGCAGGCGCGCCCATAGGGCGTTCTCGCTCGGTGCTCCGCACTGGCCGACGCCAACAGCAGGTGCGCTGCACGCCCGGGCGCTGCCATCCAGCAGCCCGAACATCTCGACCTTCGCGCCCCTCCTTTTGGCCAGCGCGTGCTCCGTCTCGGCCCACCGCGCCCCGATGTCCTCGGCCGGCTCGCGGCCGCGGGGCGCGCGGCCGACCGGGATGTCGCGCCCGAAGAACGGGGGCCGCATGCGCTCCAACGCTCTCGTGGGACTGGTGGTGCACAACTGCAATGTGTTTTTCTTGCACACTGCGGCCACTCACCGGCTGGTCCTCGACGTAGATCCAGAGCGAAACCCCGAAGTAGCTCGGGCCCCCCGAACCTCGAGGCCCTGCCGTCGGATCGCAGGCAGCGCCAAGCGAAGCCACATGCAGTCAATGCGCGGCGCTGCGTTCGCAACCAGCTCCTATGGATCGAAATCGCTGGCCCAGCTAAGAAACCCCATCTGGCCAGCGAGACCATAGTGGTCGGTGAACTCGTTCCACGGGCCCGCCATACGTCTACCCGCGCGGCGCCACCTGCACCAGGTCATCTGAGTCAGTACCCTCAGGGCTCCGCCCAGGTACCCCGCGCACGGCGCGGCGTGCTCCAGCGAGGCCCCGCCCTCCGATGTCGCACTGGTTATCGATGACGACCTCCACGGGCGGCAGCGGGCAGGATGCGACCTCAGACCCATGCGCTGGCACCACTTGCGCAGGCCAGAGGACGGCCGCAATGGCCGCCGTGCAGATTTCCGAGGCTCCCGACGGGCAGGCGAACTGGTCGGCCAGCCGCAGATGCATTGTTCCGAGGATATCATCAGCACCCAGCCGCCGTCCAGGGGAAGTGGGCCCGGGGGCCCGGAGCTCATGCACTGCAGTTGAAGTGAAAAGGATGACGGGCTCCGCTGCGATGCCCTGGCGAGGGGAGCTCTGTCGGCATGAGTGGCCGGGTCTCTCCTGGCCAACGATGCTGGCGGACCCGACGCAACCACCAACCAGGGAGAGCCCAGCTTCACTAGTCCAACGGCGGCCCCGACCTTGGAAATACTGGTAGTGCAAGAACCTGGTCACAAAGGGCGGTCCTGACGCCGTCGCCGTCATCGCCCACTGCGATGTTGTTGGCATCATGAGGTGCCCGTTGGGGCTGGTAGGCGGGCGCCTGCTCTACTACGATATTGTGGCCCTCCTGGTCCCTCTGCATCTCTGCCGGCCCATCGCCGTTGTCGTCGGCTGCCACGCGGAGGGGCAGTCGGCGCTGGCCTGGGGGTGGCTCGCCCGCACTGGTGCTGATCTGCTGTCCTTCCCGCACAAAGACCGTGCGCAAGCAGCAGGCAGTGCTGCCTCGCCCGCGCCTGGTGTTGCGCTGGTTGTTGCTGCTGCTGCTGCTGCTGCTGCTGCTGTTGCTGCTGCTGTTGTTGGCTGGTGTTGCGCTGGCTGCTGCTGCTGCTGCTGCTGCTGCTGCTGGGCTGCCATTCGGCTGGATGACAAGCCCTTGACTAGTTCGGCCAATGCTGGCGGCCGGGACGGTGTACCAGTTCGGCAGCGCGGAGGTCACGCTAGATCCGTCTGTCAACGAACGGGACATGGATTTGCATCATCCGCGAGACGGAGGCCACCGCAGCCACCGCTACGCTCTAGGAGCTGCTCACTGACCAATTCCCAAGAAAAGTTTCTCCTCATCGTTCTCTTCCTCCTCCTCATCCTCCTCCTCTTCCTGCCCTTCCTCCTCCTCCTCCTCCACAATTACACCATATGAATACTACGTTCCTCGCTCCCCTGATGATGTGCGGAAGATATCCTGCCCCCCGTCGTGTATTGTTTTTTACATGCAGAATTCCTGGAACTCGGATTTCGCTTTGGCTGTTTTTTCCAAAAGGTTGTTCTTGCGCCGGCCTCATGTTCGGCCTTCCGTTCGTTCCGAATCGTCCTCCTGCTGCAGCGTTGGCCTCATTTCCGCGTTTCCGCTCGTTCCGAATCGGGTTTCCGCCGCAGCGCTGACCCCGATGTCCTGATTGTCATATGTGTTTTTGGCCATCCGATTTTCTTCGGTCCTCTAAAATGCTGTTCCAGCTACAGCGTTGGCCCCATGTCTGCGCCTCTGGTTGTTCCAGGACGTGCTCCCGCTGCAGCGCGGGAGATTTCGGTCCTTCTAAATAAACACCAAATCTATACATGACCCCCAGAAAAATAGAAACAAGAAAACGATGACGTAAGTTAAGTTACTGGGCCGCAGAAGCCCCCCCCCCCACACTTCGGGGCCGCGGCGTTTGGAGGAAGTATCAAGCGGGAGCCCCTGTCTTTCTGGTTTCAGAAGGCGATGTTGCAAGCAGAGCCAGCAGATGCTCTCCATCAGCCCCGCCTTGTGGCGAGCTTCTCGCGGAGCCCACGGGGCTAAACATGGAGCCGTGACTCCAGACCCGCCCAGACATCTCGAAGACGATCAATTTACCCTCCAAGGAACTTGGCGTCATGGAGTGACATGCAGTGCGGTGTTTTGTTCTGCGCCGCTGTGCGACACCATGCTTTGCGCTGCAATCCTCTGTGATGAAATGCTTCAGTACACAGTACCACGCCATGCTCTGACATTCCACGCTCTGGGGTGCTCTTCTACGTCATGCCATGCAGTACTCTACGATACATCACGCACCCTCTCGCGATCACTGCCATGCTCGACATCCGACTGTGCGAATAGAGAGGAGATCTACGTCATAGGAAGGGATGGGAAAGAGGGGCAGGACGTATGATATGACGCGAGCGCACCTAGCTTGTCCTTTTGCCACTCCTCCTCCTCCTCCTCCTCCTATTCCTCTTCCTCTTTCCCCTCCTCCTCCTCCTCCTCCTCCTCCTCCTCCTCATCCTCTTCCTCCTCCTCCTCTTCCTTCTCCTCATCCCCCATGCCCGATGGAGGACGAGGAATAGGGGGCGGGAGTGGAATGGTGATCGTACTAGGTTCTCCCTAGTCGATGTACTTCCCCCCTCGGTGGAGATGGGAAGATAGGGTGGGAGAAATACGACGACGAAGAGTAGCAAAACAAGGAACACGGGAATGCAGAAAGAAAAAAAAGCGGAGAATAATGGGATTTCCCCTTCCCAAAAGCCCCGCTGAGCCACCCCTGATGGTAACCCCTGCGCGTCCACCGCCTTCACCTGCCCCTGCCTTCATAGTTTCCTCTACACTTCCTGCTGGGCGGACGAGAGACCTGCACGAACTCTCCTGTGACGCGACGAGGGGGTGCAATCACTGTTTGTGTACAGCGGAAGCCCGTCCACAAGAAACATTCCACAAGAAACCCAACCCTGAGACCCCAGGACGCCAGGACGCCTATTGAATATCGGTGTGAAGACGCCACGCTTTCCATCGCAAAACCATCGAAGCCCAAGAAACCCAGGGCACCCTGGAAGCAAGCAGGGTGTTGGTTGGCATGGGCCTCCACTGTAATCCGGGGGTGCTGTCAAGGCGAATCATCTGCCCTGCGTGGACGCGTGCGAAACCATGGAGAAAGCCAGGCGCAACCGACCGCCGGGCTTTACACCCTTTTTTTGTTGGCGGCGAAGCGGGGCAATCCGCTCCAGCGCTGCAGCGATGCAGGGGCACTACAAAGCGAATTGGCCGGCACGCAGGAAGGGGGAGGAGGAGGACGGGGCGGCCGGAGGGCCCTACACACACGAGAGAACGCGTTTCACGGGCGCTTGCCTTGGGAACATTCGGCGGCGCGTTTCGAACCAGGTGGGGGGGGGGCCCAACACTCGGCGCTGTCGATCAAGACCAGGGGGGCTCCCCTTCCCCCCAACCCCCCCCACCCGAACACCCCCCCCCCCTTTCCCAACGGGGGGAGGGTTTGAACCCCCCCCCCCGCGCCGGCGCCGGCGGCCGCCAACAGCGCCGACGGCGGGGACGCAGCGACGATGACCAGAGACAGCCCAAGGGGGGGGAGATCAAACCCCCCCTCCCCCCCCCTCTGGCGCCGAGGGGGTGGGGGGGGTTCAAAACCCCCCCTTGGCGCCGGCGCTGGCGCTGGCGGCGGCCAGCAGCCCCGGCGCTGGCGCCGTCGCACCACCGCCACCACCACAACCCACCACCACCATCACAAACCACCACCACACCACCACCAAACCACCACCACCACCACCACAACCCACCACCACCACCACCACCACAAACCACCACCACACCACCACCACAACCACCACCACCACCACCCACCACCACAACATCCACCATCACCAAAACAAACCACCACCACCACCACCACAACCACCACCACCGCCATCACCACCACCGCCACCATCACCACCACCACCACCATCGCCAACAGCCGCCGCCCGCCGCCGCAGGCGCCGACGCCGGCCCAGGAAAGGAAATCGTCGTCCCCGCCGCCGCCGCCGCCAGCCGAGGAGACGAAGAGAAGAGAAGTAGGGGAGGGGGGGAGGGGTTCGAACCCCCCCCTTCCGTCACGGGAAGGGGAGGAGGGGGGTCCAGTTCCAACCCCCCCCCTCCAAGCGACTACAGAACGCGCTCTTTCACACACACACACACACAGCTTTCAACGAACACTCCGTGCGGGGATCTCGGCGCCCCTCTCACGGGGACTCAACTGACGGGCACCATGGCCAGTGACCCGGCGAACCCGGTCCTCCCCGATGTGGGCAACGGCGTTGCCCACATGCCAGAAAGAAGAAAAACCATAAATGCCAGAAAGATGCCCCAAAAAATGCCCGAAGATGCCAGAAATGCCAGAAATGGCCTAAGAAATGCCAGAATGATGCCAGAAATGCCCGAAGAACCACATGCCCACATCGCACGCTGCAATGCCAGAAAGATGCCCCAAAATGGCAACGTTCGGCACCATTCCAAAGCACCCGTTAGCGAGCACCCGTCACGGTGCCGCTGGAAGTCGGCGGCGCCCCCCCACCCGGAGGTCGCCCCCCCCCCCCCACCCCCACCCCTCGGCACATCCTCCACGTCGACCACCTCCGCGTCCACGACGTCCAACACCAGCGGGGCCCTGGCGCTGGCGCCCCTACTAGAAGAAGAAAAAGCAGCATAAGCATCAACTTTTGGCGCTCCGCGCGGATTTCTTGGATCCGCGCCGGACCCCCCCTCCTTGGGGCGCGGAGCGCGCCAGGGGTGGCGCCGGAGGCGCCGCTGGGAAGGCCCCGCGCGGATCCAAGAGATCCGCGCGGAGTGCCAATACTTTATGTTTATGCCGCTTTTTCTTCTTCGATCTACCCCCCGCGAGCCCGCGACGGCTCGCCTTGGGGTAGGTCGGGTATGTCCTCCTACAGGCGGATTTTGAAGAAAAATGAAACACAGTCCAAAAACATTCAGAAATGGGCCAAAATAGGTGAAAAATCGTCCCCTGACTATTTTTGGACTACGTTTGAATAGTCCTCCTGTAGAGGGACACGCCCGACTTAACCCTAGGGTTGCCTGGACGCGTCGGCGGCCGCAGGAGTCGGTGGCACATGCTGTCCGCTGGCTGGACGTGGCCCTCATGATAAGAACTCCGACAAGCGAAGCATTTCAGTAAACGCACCCAAAGAAGGAATCGAACAGGGCAGGGCTGTCCAGCACACGGACGGGGCCGTTTCGTGAACGCCAACTGTCGGGGTCGGGGTGGTCCTTCCCCCCTTGACCTAAGACACGAGTGACGCAGCAGCAGCAGCAGCAGCAGCAGCAGCAGCAGCACGCATCGAGCTAGGAAACTCGGCAGCGGCGGCCGCCCCGAGAGGGGGAAGACTCCAGAGGAGCCCCGAGCCGAGCCCCGAGCCGAGAGGAGGAAGCGGGGGGGGGGGGGGGCAGCCAGGGGGGGGGCAGAGCTGCTGCTTGCTCCCCTCGGTTGCACGCAATAGTGGCCCTGGGCAGGAGTGGCTTTTGGTGCGCGGCCTTCGGGGGGGTGGGTTGGGGGGGGGCGGCAAGCCCAAGCACGCAGGCCGCCTCTGTCGCATCGCGCAGCAGGAGGAGGGGAGAACAGCTTCCCATCGTCGTCAACATCCTCATGCTCCACCCTTTCGTCCTCCTTCACCTCTGCGTTCCTCGGCACTCTCAATATCCTCCGATGTTTGTTCTTTATTGGAATGTACTCCTACAAGGCCACCTTGCCAGTCGATGGGGGTCTCTTCGAATGTTTTCATACGGACGTTTTGGCGTCGGCGCTGCAAAATTCATGGCAGACATCGGACGGGACGCATTGACCGCGCGAAAGGGCGAAATGTCGCTCTCGCCTCGGCGCCGCGGCCGCTCGTCCTGAGGGTTGAGCTCCCGCGTGGGCGGAGCGATCACTTTTCGCTCGCCGATTCGTCGACAGCGGAGTCGCGCGCGAGCCGACAGACACGTCGCTCTTGCGTCGGCGCCGCGGAGATGTCGCCCCAGAGCGGCGCTCCCGCTTCAGCGAAGACGGGGCCGCGCGCGAACGGGCGACTTCTCGCCCAGCGCAAGCAGCGCGACGCCCTGCAGCACAAGCCGCACTCCCCCTCTGGCCTGCTCCCGCGGCCTCCCGCTGCCGCGGCGCCCCCTCCGCCAGCGGCGGGCGCGGAGGCTGCGTGCGCGTTGGGCTGCGACGCGGCCTTGACGACGGCCCCCATCGCCTCGCGCATGGCCGCAACAGCCTTGCGCAGGGCCACTGCCTCCTCCTCCTCCTCCTCCTCCTCGCCCTCTGGGAGGGCGCTGGCGAAGCCGCCCATGGCCTGCTTGAACGGCCCCTCGATATGCGGCGTCGGCGTCTCTGCCGGGGGCCCGCCGCCCTGCGTGCCCAGCGTCTTCCTTCGGTCCTTGGCCTCCTCGAGCTGCACCTGGGCGTCGCCCAGCTCCTCCTGCAGCCTTGATCGATACCTAGGGCTGGGACTGTAGACGAGCAACCTTCTGCTCGAGGTGGGCAACCTGCTGCGAATACCCACCGAGGAGCGAGTTGATCTGCGCCGCCTCCACATTGGCCCCCGACAGACCGTAGACACGCAGCGCACGCCGGTGCGCGAGCGAGTCTCGCTGGCGCCTCGGGGTGGACTGAGAGGCGAACGCGAAGGACTCTTCCCCGAGAGGTCGAGCCACATGTCCTTTCTCTCCGCTGTGAGCTCGCGCCTGGGCGGAGCCTGGCCAAGCTTATTGGCGCTGGTCATCCCACCGTCGGTACCTCCTTTGCGGCCATCGGTGGGCCCCCAAGCTGCGGAGGCCCTTTCTGCCTTTACCCTTGAACGAGTGCCCGTATGGGCCCCACCACGCATTGCCCCAGCGGGCTTGGACCTGCGGAGTTGGACCCGACGGGTTGCTGCCTTTGCACCACGCTTGCTTGCACATCGCGCGGCGGCCGAAATTGTAGAACCCGCGCGTGCCGCACATCCAAGCTGGCGCCATCTCTTCCTCTGACACAGAGTCTGCTCTCGAACTGGTGGCCACGGCGGTCTGGGCCGTCCGCCGTGGCAAAGAAGTCAAGCCTTGGCCTCCTGGCGGACTCCTCGGGCAAGCCAAAGCGAATCGCTGGTTCTCGAGCGTCTATAGCCCTTCACAACGTTTAGCCTTGAGCCAAAATGGCTGCGGACTTCTCGTCTCTCCTCCTCCTCCTCCTCCTCCTCCTCCTCCTCCTCCTCCTCCTCCTCCTCCTCCTCCTCCTCCTCCTCCTCTTCCTCCCCCTCCTCCTCCTCATCCTCCTCCTCCTCCTCCTCCTCCTCCTCCTCCTCCTCCTCCTCCTCCTCCTCCTCCTCCTCCCCCTCCTCATCAGCATCATCCTCATCATCATTCTCCTATTCCTCGCTCCATCGTTCCCTCGCTCCCTCCCTGCCACCTCAATTCCCCCCCCCTCCCTCCTCCATCCCTCCCTCATTATCCTCCCATCTCTTTCCCTCCCTCCTTCCCTCCCATCCTCTGGAGGCCCTGCCGCCCCCTCCCCTGAAGCCCACCGCCCCCCAGCTGGCGAGCCTCCTCGCCCCTCTGCCCCGCGCGGCGGCGGCGAGCGCGGCGCGCGCCCGCCGCGCCTCGCGAGCGCGCGGGGGGCGGGGGCAAGGCGGACAGGAACATCGTCCAAGACGACGACGACGACGACGACGACGACGACGACGACGACGACCACGACGACGACGACCACGACAACGGCCACGACGACAACGACGACCACGACGACCGCGACGACCACGACGACCACGGCCACGGCAACGCGATGACGACGGCGTCGACGACGCCAGCCAAGGCATGAAGGCCTCCAACGGGGCGCCAGAGAGGGGGCGGGAGGGGGGAGGGCAAGGCGAGATGGGGGAAGCACAGGTCGAGGCCTGGGGGAGGAAGCGGGGAGGGAAGAGACGGGAGGGATGAAACGGGAGGAAAAGGAAAGGATTGAGAGGGAAGAGACTGAGGGAAGACACGGGAGGGATGAGACGGGAGGAGAAGGGGGGAGGAGGAGCAGAGAAGGGGGAAGGGAGGAGACGGGAGGGGAAGGAGGGAGGGGAGAAGCCGAGAAGGGGGGCGGAGAGAACGAGGGAGACACGCCGACTCGGATACGTAGGCTTTTCCAGGCGCTGGGAGGACAAGCGAGCCGCGGCAACCCCCCGCAGGCTCGCGCTGACAAGTGGACGACGACGACGACGACCACGACCACGACGACGACGACGACGACGAAGACGACCACGACCACGACCACGACCACGACGACGCCGACGCCGACGACGACGACGACGACGACGACGACGACGACGACCACGACCACGACCACGACCACGACCACGACCACGAAAACGACCACGACCACGACCACGACCACGACCGAGACCGCGACCGCGACCACGACCGCGACCGCGACCACGACCACGACCACGACGACGACGACCACGACCACGACCGCGACCACGACCACGACCACGACCATGACCACGACCGCGAAGACGACGACGACCAAGACCACGACCACGACCGCGACCGCGACCGCGTCCACGACCACGACCACGACGACGACGACGACGACGACGACGACGACGGCGACCACGACGGTGACCGCGACAACGCGACGACGGCGACGACGACCGCGCGACGACAACGACCACGACCACGACCACGACGACGACGACGACCACGACGACGACGACGACGACGACGACGACGACCACGACGACCACGACCACGACGACCACGACCACGACGACCACGACGACCACGACGACGACGACAACGACGACGACGACGACGCCCTCCAGGGGGCAGGGCGTCGGGCGGGGCGGCGCCTGCGGCCGCCTCGCCGCGCGCGCCAGCCCCCCCGCGGCGACGGCGCCAGCGCAGAGGGCCGGCAGGACGGCGCCTGGTGCTGGCGAGCACCAGCCGAGCGACCGGAGCGAAGGAGTGCCTTGTTCGCCATAGGAGGAGGAGGAGGAGGAGGAGGAGGAGGAGGAGGAGGAGGAGGAGGAGGAGATTCTGGAGGTTCTGCCTGGTCGCGTAGCGATTGGATGAAATTGGAGATCCGCTACCCTCCGTGGGGTGCGTTGGTCTCTGGCTTCGCGCTCGGCTCGACTGAGGGCCTTAGGCCAGGGTCCCTTGGCGGTTCTCCGCAGGTAAGCGACGCCTGTCGGAGTTGGGGTCTCGCGCCGACCCCCGAGTTTCCCGAGAAGCTGGTTTGCGTAGGACCCGCAGACGGAACAGAACCAAAGATTCAGCCCAGCGTGGAACCTTAAAGTGTGTGTCGGGTCAACATATCCCCCTGCGACGTGTACCTGTTTCCCAAGAGGAGCCATCGTATAGGTGCCGTCGGCGTTGCATAGGTCGGAGCGTTCGCTAGCAAGCCGCTGGGCCCTTGAGGCCGGCGTGGTAGTGGTCCTGCAGCGGGTGCACTTGGGTCCGCAGAGGGCTGCAGAGTGCTGGGACTGGAACAGGGCGCAAACGCGGGGGGCGGGTGGCCTCTGTGGGGCCACACCTTTCTGCCTCTTTGGGCGGAATTCCCCAGAGGATTGCTCGATATTCCTGGCGTGCTCAAGCGCTTCGAGAGATGTGCGGAGCAATCTCATGCGTACAAGAAAAGCCTTTTGCTCAATCAATGCGTATTGCTGTCTGTCGGAGGTAGGGATTCTGGCTGCCTGTGCTGCGCCTCCTGCGATCTCGTCCGCCACTGCGTTGCCGTAGGCGAGGGTGGCGGGGATCTTGCCCTGGAAGACATCCTGGGCACTCATGTGCGAGGGGATCCACATGATGGTGAGGGAGCCGCGGCGAGAGGAGATGTTACGTCCGAGTCGTGCCCATAGGTCGGCGTCTGGTCCGACTGGATTGTCCGTGTGTCCATTGTGGTAGTTGTTGTAGCAGCCCTCACTGTCGGTGAAGTAGACGAGGTCGTTGGTGATGCTCTCAGCTGCCACTACTAGGGCCATGAGTTCACCACGTATGACGGTCTGTCGGCTGCCCGCGAGGGGCCCCCAAGTTGCGCCCCGTAGCGGCATGTCGTGCTTATTGAGGTCGGCGAAAAAAGCGACACCTATACCGATCCTCCTCAGGGGGGTGGCAGCAGTGTCGGGGCCGCCACTGGCGTCGCCGAAGGCGTATGTCGGGCGTCCTCCTACGTGGTCCATGCATCCGTCGTTGTGCTCGTTGCAGTTGAAGTGTTCCCATTGGTCGTGCTGCGGTGGTGGCGGGAGAGCTGTCCACTGCGCAGGTAGTGGGCCTCGTGTCCAGAAACACTCGAACATGGCTCGTTGAGAGGCAGCCTCTGCACAGAGTGTGTTGGAGGCGAGTGTGATGTTGTTGGCGCTGTTGCCCTCGCGCTCCCAGCGTCGGTGGTGGTCATCCTCGTCGCTGGTTCCACAGCGTGGGCATGTAGTGGTAGTGGTGGTAGATGTTTCGGCGGCGACTCTGGTGCGTGTCCACGTGGCGCCCGCTGCGGCGGTGAGCGCGAGGCTCGCGGGGCGCGCGCCGTCTGCGAGACTCTCGGGGTACCGGAGAAGCCTGCGGTAGGAGTAGTTGTCGATTCCTTGCTGCATGCCCTCTCCGCCGTGGTGGGTACTGGCCCGCTGCCATTGTTGGTGCTGGATGCTGGCGTCGAGGTCGTGGAATAATTGATGTGGGATGTCGGCGTCGGGGTGTCCTGTGAGCCGCTTGGCGTCGAACTCCCGTGTGTCTCCGCAGTCGGAGAGTGCTGGCGGGAGGCGCCATTTGTTGGGCTCCAGTGGTTCCCAATCGTGCTGCATGAGGTAGTGGATGATGGTCGATTGTGGCCCACGTATGTGCCGTACCCGTACATGTGGCGGCATGGTCTTGAAATTGGTGACGACGGTCTTCCAGGTGGCTTGAATAACGCGTTGGAGGGGTCCTCCTTGTATCCAGGTAGTGAGCCATGCCTTGAGTGCGTCATGTGGTAGTTTGCGGGCTGGGTCATGAGCGCGTAGGTCAAGTGGGGTAGCGAGGCGTCGTCCTCTTAGTCGAGGTCCCACTGCGTCACCGACGCGTCGGCGGTAAGTGGTCATAGTCGTGCCGAATGCGCCGTAGACTTGGTGTCCGTAGGTGACTGCTGGCATCCCTCCTTGTACTGCGAGCTTGGATGAGATACGGTACCGACGTGTGGCACGTGTGAAGCGAAGTATCTTCTGGTGCATGGCGTCGTGCTGGCGACGTCGCTGGGTGGTGGTGCGTCGCGCATGTCGTATACCGCAGCCGAGGTCGATGCCGAGATAGCTGGCCTGGGTGTTGGCGCGGATGGGGAAACCCTTCCTTCTCATGGCGTTGGCAATGTATCTGGCGTCGTCGTGGTGTGTGCAGACGATGACGCTCTTCTTAGCAACGTTTAGGCCCTGGTCCTGGAGCGCCGTGCAGGTGTCGGCGAGGCAAGCTACCATGCGGCGGCGTAAAGCTCGTCGGCTGGCTTGCAGGCGCTGCGACGGGTCGTCGACCCAAATGCGGTGCTGGAGGTCGGGGTAGTGATGTGCGATGCGCTGCAGTGCCTTGTGGGTCATGATCTTGGCGAAACGTGTACCTGAGCGTAGTCCCTGCACGACAGAGCGTGTGGGGTGGAGTGCTTCCGCATACGCACCGCTCTGCATGAGCGAGCGGGGGGCGGTGCACTGCAAGATCTCCAGTCCGAGAACTTCAGGTGGGAAATTGAGGTCGAGCGCGTCGTGGATGAGGGTGACCCAGTGGATGGAATCGTAGAACTGGGCGATGTCCAGTAACCCGTGCGCCTGCGGGATGCTGAGGTAGGTCGAAAGCTCCTCGTGCAGGCACCTTTCGTACGCCTCACGGAAGGCCGAGCTGCCTTTGGCTATGGCGTCCCAGTGTGCGAAATAATCTCGATTCCACTGTTGTACATGTTCTTCACGTGCCATGGACCGCAGTCGTGCAACCGTCGTCATGAGGCCGAGGATGCGGTCACCGTTGTCCTTCTTGGCCCGCATGACACCGATGGTGTGTAGGAGCTGGTGTGGCCAAGCTTGGAGTCGTTCCGCTGTTGTAAGTAGGTCGGCCAATTCCTGGAGTGCCTCTTGAGGGAGCCGCTGGAAATCTCCAGGTCGTAGGCGGTCGGCACCAAGCGCGGCGTTGGCCTTGAGGCGGGAAGCGGCCCGTCGGAGGTCGTCCGCGGTGAGCGCGGGGAGTGGGCACTCCTGGATGCGGTCGACGATGCGTTGGAAGGCGGCCTCCAGGCTGTGGTAGTCGAAGTCGTGGGGGGCCCACAGGTCGGTCCAGGTCTGTATCTTCTGGTCTATGAGCTCCTTGGGGTGCATGATAGTGCCTCCGTCGGACAATGTGACCTCTGCTGGCTGTGGTTGGGGCCGTAGGGAGCGATGGAGTGTTCCCAAGGCCTCGGGCGTGGTTGCCCACTCGCTGAATGCACGAACGGACTTGCGTATTGCCCGTTGTTGGGCTCGCTTGGCAAGTCGGTTGGCTCTGGTTGCGTGTGCCACGATGTAGCCGTCGTCGGCGTGCTCGATCTGCTGCAGGAAAAGGGTCCACTGGTCCCAAGTGCGGTCGTCTTTGGGTGTGACGATGCTGGCTGCAGCTGGGGGTGGTGAGTCAG